ATAGACTGATGCAGTGGTCAGAGAAGTGGCAGATGCAGTTTAATATAGACAAATGCAAAGTTCTAAATGTTGGACAGGAAAATAAGCATGCCACATACAAACTAAATAATGTCGATCTTAATATTACGGATTGCGAAAAAGATTTAGGAATCCTGGTTAGCAGTAGTCTGAAACCAAGACAACAGTGCATAAGTGTTTGCAATAAAGCTAACAGAATCCTTGGCTTCATATCAAGAAGCATAAATAATAGAAGTCCTCAGGTTGTTCTTCAACTCTATATATCCTTGGTTAGACCTCATTTAGATTATGCTGCACAGTTTTGGTCACTGTATTACAGAATGAATATAAATGCTCTGGAAAACATACAAAGTAGGATAACAAAGTTGATCCCATGTATCAGAAATCTTCCCTATGAGGATAGACTGAGGTCCCTGAATCTGCACTCTCTAGAAAGGCGTAGAATTAGGGGGGATATGATTGAGGTGTATAAATGGAAGACAGGAATAAATAAAGGGGATCTAAATAACATGCTGAAAATATCTAGCCTAGACAGGACTCGTAGCAATGGTTTTAAGATGGAAAAATTCAGATTCAGGAAGGATATAGGAAAGCACTGGTTTGGTAATAGAGTTGTGGATGAGTGGAACAAACTTCCAAGTACAGTTATTGAGGCTAAAACATTGTGTAGTTTTAAAAATAAGTTAGATAAATACATGAGTGGGTGTGGGTGGGTGCGAGTTGGACCTGATTAGCTTGTGCTACTAGGTCAGTTGTCGTGTTCCTTCCTTAACCCCTTGACTGTCGCAACCCCCAATCCTGAAGTGTCTCCTGGTGTCGCAAAATTTCAATGAGTGATAGAGAATCTTTTCCTGATTGTAATGACACCAAAAACACAAAATTTGATGGAAAACTGATGGAATTACGCTCTTTCGAAGTTAGCGACCTTGGCGATATTTACAAATCTGCGATTTTGCCCACTTTGAGCCCTATTTTCCACTAATTCCATTGTTCCAGTCGACCAAACTCATAGCTATTTCTTTAGAACTCCATTTTTTCTGTCTATTGAGTACAAGAAACTGCCCATTTACCGATTTCAACTACCCAGTAACATGGTCAGAAATTTGCAATTTGGCCAATTTCATGAAAATTAAAAAAATATGACAATTTCAAAATAAGGTCCAGAATGAAAAATGTAGACATTCCTGGCTCTAAAATAACATTTTCTTTGTTCATCAGTCATGTCTCCAGGCCCCTGTGATATTACTCTTGCTTTCTATTTTGAATTTTTATTCAAACAAAAAATAGATTTACTGTTATGCAGACTACTGCAATACTGTAATAATTGTATAAATAACATCAACCCATTCATGACTGCATAGCATATTAGAATGGCTAGTTGGGCATTTTTTGGACAATGACATCATTTGTTTACTTTTGAACATTGGCAAAAATCAAACATTTCCCCTACTTTGAGCTTCATTTCTAGATTGTTTTTATAGTAAAATCAATCAAAATCACCTACCTCTATTTCTATAATATGTTTTCCATTCTATCAAATGAGACCAAGAAAACGAGAATACAACCATAAATACTATACGAAAATAGACCACAAAGTCTGCATTTTAATTAAAAAAAATAATAAGTTTTTTTTTCTCATGCACTGCGTGCTCCAGGATTTTTTTTATATGGTGCACACTGACCACAAAGACCCATTGTCTCACTTGTGGGCCTACCAGCATTCTCCTGCTTGATTTGAAGATGCTAGAATTTATGAGTATACGTCAAACACGGTACCTTGTAAGACATATATATACGATCTCGACAGTCAAAGGGTTAAGTGAATGAGACCTGACCTGACTAGGTTGGGGCATTGGCTTAAGCCGGTAGGAGACTTGGACCTGCCTCGCATGGGCCAGTAGACCTGCTGCAGTGTTCCTTCTTTCTTATGTTCTCATGTTCTTATGTTCTTACAGGTATACATAAGTATAATTATCAGAGTATATATAAAACATGAAATAACTTTTAAAAACACTTGAAATTTTGGTGTTTCCAGACACAATGGAGAGACGTGGTGCTTACGGAGTTCATGGAGAATGTAAACAAACAGGGTGGGGTGCGGTGACCGTATTAGAAAGTCAGGTGGGGGGAGCCGTATAGAGAGTTTAGGTCATACAGTGGACCCCCGCATACCGTTGGCATCACATAACGTTAAATCCGCATACCGCTACAATTTATCGCCAAGATTTTGCCTTGCATACCGCTAAAAAAAACCCGCTCAATCGCTGTTCATCCGAGACGCGTCTAATGTGCGCCCTTAGCCAGCCTCACATGTTCCGCCGGTGGCATTGTTTACCAGCCAGCCTCCGCGGTAAAATCCAAGCATACAATCGGAACATTTCGTATTATTACAGTGTTTCTGGTGATTTTATCTGCAAAATAAGTGACCATGGGCCCCAAGAAAGCTTCTAGTGCCAACCCTACAGCAATAAGGGTGAGAATTACTATAGAGATGAAGAAAGAGATCATTGATAAGTATGAAAGTGGAGTGCGTGTCTCCGAGCTGGCCAGGTTGTATACGTAAACCCCAATCAACCATCGCTACTATTGTGGGGGAACAAAAAGGCAATCAAGGAAGCTTCTTGCCAAAGGTTTAACTGTGTTTTCGAAACAGAAACGCAAGTGATGGAAGATGTTGAGAGACTCTTATTGGTGTGGATAAATGAAAACAGATAGCAGGAGATAGCATCTCTCGAGTGATCATAAGTGAAAAGGGTAGGAAGTTGCATCAGGATTAATTAAAAAAAATGCCTGCAACTAGTGATGATGTGAGTGAATTTAAGGCCAGCAAAGGTTAGTTTGAGAGATTTAAGAGGCGTAGTGGCATACCCTAGTGTGATAGGCATGGTGAGGCTGCCAGTTCGGACCACAAAGCAGCTGAAAAATATGTGCAGGAATTTTAAGGAGTACATAAAACTGAAAGGGCTGAAACCTGAACAAGTGTTTAATTGTGATGAAACAGGCCTGTTCTGGAAGAAAATGCCAAGCAGGACCTACATTACCAGGAGGAAAAAGGGACTCCCAGGACATAAAACCTATGAAAGACAGGCTTACTCTATTGATGGTTCCAATGCTACTGGTGATTGCAAAGTGTAGCCTTTATTAGTGTATCACTCTGAAACTCCCGACCGTTCAGCAAAAGAATGTCCTCAAGGAAAATTTGTGTGTGCTGTGGAGGGCAAACAGTAAGGCATGGGTCACTAGGGACTTTTTCTATGACTGGTTACACCATGCATTTGCCCCCAATGTGAAAGATTACGTAACTGAAAAGAAATTAGAACTTAAGTGCCTCCTGGTGTTAGACAATGCCCCTGGTCATCCTACAGACGTGGCAGAGCGACTTTATGGGACAATGAAATTCATTAAGGTGAAGTTTTTGCCTCCTAATACCACTCCTCTCCTGCAGCCCATGGACCAGCAGGTTATTGCAAACTTCAAAAAACTGTACACAAAAGCTCTGTTTGAAAGGCGCTTTGTAGTGACCTCAGAAACTCAACTGACTCTAAGAGAGTTTTGGAGAGATCACTTTAATATCCTCAATTGTGTAAACCTTATAGGTAAGGCTTGGAGGGAGTGACTAAGAGGACCTTGAACTCTGCTTGGAAGAAAACTGTGGCCAGAATGTGTAGACCAAAGGGATTTGAAGGGTTTCAGGATAACCCTGAGAATCCTATGCCAGTTGAGGAATCCATTATGGCATTGGGAAAGTCCTTGGGGTTGGAGGTTAGTGGGGATGATGTGGAAGAGTTGGTGGAGGAGGACAATGAAGAACTAACCACTGATGAGCTGATAGATCAACTTCAACAGCAAGAGGCCAGACCTGAGGAAACTGGTTCGAAGGAGGGGAGAGAGAAATTGAAGAAATTGCCTACTACAAAGATTAAGGAAATCTTGCAAAGTGGCTTGAAGTGCAAACCTTCATGGATGAAAATCACCCTCACACAGCTATTGCAAGCCGTGCTGGTGACTATTACACTGACAATGTTGTGAAACACTCTAGGGAAGTCATAAAGGAACGAGAGGTAAGCAGCCACTATGGACAGATATGTTGTGCGACAGAACTCCAGTGACTCTGAAGCTGGTCCTAGTGGCATTAAAAGAAGAAGGGAAGTAACCCCAGAAAAGGACTTGACACCTCAAGTCTTAATGGAAGGGGATTCCCCTTCTAAACACTAACACACACTCCTCCTCCCATCCCATCAATCATCACCAGATCTTCAATAAAAGTAAGTGTCATGTAATTGTGCATGCCTTTTTCAGTTTGTGTGTATTAAAATTAATATTTCATGTGGTAAAATTTTTTTTTTTCATACTTTGGGGAGTCTTGCACGGATTAATTTGATTTCCATTATTTCTTATGGGGAAAATTCATTCGCATAACGATAATTTTGCATAACAATGAGCTCTCTTGCACGGATTAATATCTCTATGCGGGGGTGCACTGTAATTTGAAATCGTATTAGCGGAACGCCGTAAAGCGAAACGCCGTAAAGCGGGGCCCTACTGTACTTGCACTAATAGTGTCAACAGTACATTTTTACAAAAAATTATGCATAATTACCTAAACACACATCTAATTACTTCACTTTTCTGCTGTTCTAACTTTTTTTTTTAACATACGTACACATATTTACAGGCACTGGTCATATATCTAGAACTATTGCAGTCTTCTGTGGAAGTCCCTGAAACACAGTTCCATATACACCAGTGTTTTCACTCCCACCCCAGTGCTTTACTAAGCACTTCATGGTGTGTACACAGACATAACATCTCTTTTTAGTCCAGTCTTGTTTGTACCAAGAATTTGGTGATCAGTACGGTGGTGCATATGTTATGCAGGTGTTGTGATTCAGTATTTCTATATTTGTCTGATGACAAAAACAGAAGTGGGCATATGGTGATCTGTTGCCAGTCTTCATCTGGTATATTTTGTATGTATTCAGCATTGCTGTGTCAACATGATGGAAGAAAAGTCTCGTGTACCACTTGTAACTTCTGAACACAATCAACAAATCTACTCTGCATGTCACGTAAGTCCACCAAATGCATGTTACTGTACTTGTGTAGTCCATAACAGCAGCTGGTCTCACAATTAGGTCATTGATTTTTCTATTCACCTTTCCAGGGTCTTTCATTTCATGCTGGTGGATCACTGTCACATGTTTGTCGTGCCACTAAAATGCCATGTCATTGGCATAAAATGCCTACACTTCATCAGTACTGTCTGCATTAAACCTAGGGATGTGTTTAAATGTTCAAAGTATGGGAGGGCACCACTTGTACAGTGGGTTAGGTTCCAGGCTACCCCTGTAAAGTGAATCACACTTTTTTTTTTTACTTATAAATGCATTTAAAGCTTCCTAACATGTTGACACTATCATATACAGTGGACGCTCGATTAACAATATTAATCCGTTCCAGAGAGCTTGTCCATAACCAATTTTATTTTTATCCGATTTAATTTTTCCCATAAGAAATAATGGAAATTCAATTAATCCTTTCCTGCTGTCAGGAGGCATGACAGAATAGTACTTAAATATGATGCTATTATCAACTCTTCAGCTTATTTATCTACCACAATTCATCTAATATGACATAATAAACAATATTAATAACATAGAAACATGGAATATACTTGAGAATGAATAAAATATGTCATAATGTATGTGAGGAGTACTAAGTGGTGGCAGAGGCGTCGCTAGAGTTGGTGTCACCCGGGGCGGAATCTTTGGTGTCACCCGGGGCAGCATCTTTGGTGTCACCCCCATGATATTCAAAGGTGGGGGATGGGGGGTAAACTCCAGTTACGTCACTACTGCATGACCAGTGAGTAATGTTTAACAATGAGAACATTTAAGGGCCATAAAGCAAACAGGAGAATACTTCTCAACTTTATTAATGATAAAATAAATAGTCATAGTAATACAGTGTATTGAGGAAACATAAACTCAAATACAAAAAAAAAAAACTTGAAAAATAAAGAAAAACATTGTAATATCAGAGAAACACTTGCTCCGATTTGACCTTGAGCACAGGTAACATCTCGGTGAATCTGATCTTACATTTTTTTTGCCTTCATTTATGCAAAATCCTTTATCACATCATTAAAATCAATGATTTTCCCTATACAGTGGACCCCCGCATAGCGACCTTAATCCGTGCAAGAGGGCTGGTTGTTATGCGAAATGTTCGGTATGCGAATGAATTTTCCCCATAAGAAATAATGGAAATCAAATTAATCCGTGCAAGACACCCAAAAGTATGAAAAAAAAAATTTTACCACATGAAATATACATTTTCCTACACACAAAGATAAGGATACATGCACAGTAGTAGAGTAGTACATGCACAATATATATTGTGCATGTACTACTCTACTAAATGAAGAATAAATGACACTTACCTTTATTGAAGATGCAGCAATGACTGATGAGACACTGTGTCCTGGGAGTGCCTTTTCCTCCTGAGTACTGTAGGTCCTGTTTGGTATTTTCTTCCAGAACAGGCCTTATCACACTGTGTATGTCACTACGATTCTTAAATCTCTCAAACCAACCTTTTCTGGCTTTAAATTCACCAATATGAGCACTAGTTCCAGGCATTTTTCCCTGTTCACCTGAGTGTTAGTCGACTTGTGTGGGTTGCATCCTGGGAGACAAGATTAAGGACCCCAATGAAAATAAGTTAGACAGTCTTCGATGACACTGACTTTTTTGGGTTATCCTGGGTGGCAAATCCTCTGGGGTTAATTGTTTCTTGGTATTCTCAATAAGCCACACCAACAACGGTGCTACAGCAGCAGCAGCAGCAGCTGACGGTGGTACAGCAGCAACAGACGATGCTACAGCAGCAACAGACGATGCTACAGCAGCAGCAGACGATGCTACAGCAGCAACAGACGATGCTACAGCAGCAACAGACGATGCTACAGCAGCAGCAGACGATGCTACAGCAGCAGCAGACGATGCTACAGCAGCAGCAGACGATGCTACAGCAGCAACAGACGATGCTACAGCAGCAACAGACGATGCTACAGCAGCAGCAGACAATGCTACAGCAGCAGCAGACGATGCTACGGCAGCAGCAGACGATGCTACAGCAGCAGCAGACGATGCTACAGCAGCAACAGACGATGCTACAGCAGCAGCAGACGATGCTACAGCAGCAGCAGACGATGCTACAGCAGCAGCAGACGATGTTACAGCAGCAACAGACGATGCTACAGCAGCAGCAGACGGTACTACAGCAGCAGCAGACGATGCTACAGCAGCAGCAGACGATGCTACAGCAGCAGCAGACGATGTTACAACAGCAACAGACGATGCTACAGCAGCAACAGACGATGCTACAGCAGCAGCAGATGGTACTACAGCAGCAGCAGACGGTACTACAGCAGCAGCAGACGATGCTACAGCAGTAGCAGACGATGCTACAGCAGCAGCAGACTGTACTACCGCAGCAGCAGCAGCAGCTGACAGTGCAGCAGCAGCTGACAGTGCAGCAGCAGCTGACAGTGGTACAGCAGCAGCTGTACCACCAATAGTAGCGATGGTTGATTGGGGTTTATTATACAACCTGGCCAGCTTGGAGACACGCACTCCATTTTCATACTTATCAATGATCTTTTTCTTCATCTCCGTAGTAATTCTCACCCTTATTGCTGTAGGGTTGGCACTAGAAGCCTTCTTGGGGCCTATGGTCACTTATTTTCCAGAAAAAATCACCAAAAACCCTGTAATAATACGAAATGTTCCGATTGTATGCTTGGATGTTACGGCGGAGGCTGGCTGGTAAACAATGCCACTGGCGGAACATGTGAGCGTTGCTCAGGCCGCACATTGGACGCGTCTCGGACGAAGGGCGGTGAGCGGGTTTTTGGGCGGTATGCGAGGCCAAATTTTTGCGATCAAAGCGTCCGGTATGCGGATTGTACGGTATGCAATGCGTACGGTATGCAGGGGTCCACTGTATAGGCTTATTTGTACTCTGTAATCCTATTATAGGCTATATAGAAACGAAGGATTCTTCTCTTATGTTGGTGCAGCACTGTTTTGTGCATTAGTGTCACCGTCTTTAGAGGCTCTATGGTGTCACCACCTAAATGGTGTCCCCCCCCCCTGCCTCTGAGTGGTGGAAGTGTTGTTGTTGGGTTTATAATGGCCACTGAGAGAAGCCATACATATCAGTGGTGGAGGAGGCTTCTGTCATCACCAATATCCACAAACAATATATGTACGTAATTTATAATAAGAAATATTTACATTTTACCTAGGTAGTAGGTTGGTAGACAGCAACCACCCGGGGAGTACTACCGTCTTGCCAAGTGAGTGTGAAACTAAAGCCTGTAATTGTTTTACAGGATGGTAGGATTGCTGGTGTCTTTTGTCTGTCTCATAAATATGCAAGATTACAGGTACATCTTGCTACTTCTACTTACACTTAGGTCACACTACACATACATGCACAAGCATATATATACACACACACCCCTCTGGGTTTTCTTCTATTTTCTTTCTAGTTCTTGTTCTTGTTTATTTCCTCCTACCTCCATGGGGAAGTGGAACAGAATTCTTCCTTCATAAGCCATGCGTGTTGTAAGAGGTGACTAAAATGCCGGGAGCAAGGGGCTAGTAACCCCTTCTCCTGTATACATTACTAAATTTAAAAACAGAAACTTTCATTTTTCTTTTTGGGTCACCCTGCCTTGGTGGGATACAGCTGGTTTGTTGAAAAAAAAATTATAATATTATGGAGAGCTGGTTAGATAAGTACACTTTCCTGCATGAAACAAACATACATGTATAGCAGTCGGTACTTATCTGTTAACAGCACGATGTCCAGCACCTCTCCCTAGAAATCCCTTCGGGGTGCTGTTCCAGATTCCAGCGTGGCTGTTGATTAACCCCTAAACTGTCCAAATGTATATATACATTCTTACGCGTAGCGCCTCAAACGTATATATATATATTTTATTTTTCCTGCCTCCAAATTTGGCATGATTGGCCTGAGATGCCTGGTCAGCATAGAATTGGTCTTAACACTCGGTGTGCGCAGTATTAAAAAAACTTTGACCACTTAGTACCTTGTGGGAGCGCCAGTTAAATTGAGTGCCAACTAGAGCAAACAGTGCAGCAAACACCAAGGATTCACTGACGTAATGTCATATTAACACTTCTCCTTTAACCCTTTGAGGGTCGACAGGCCCTCTCCGAGACTCGTTCTCAGGGTCGGCCAAATTTAAAAAAAAAAATTTTTTTCTTATGACAAGATAGAGAATCTTTTCCTGATCATAACGACACCAAAAGTATGAAATTTGATGGAAAACTTACGGAATTATGCTCTCGCGAAGTTAGCGGTCTCGACAGTGTTTACGCATCGGCGATTTTGCCCACTTTGAGCCCCATTTTCGGCCAATTCCACTGTACTAGTCGACAAAAAACATGAATATCTCGCTAGAACTCCATTTTTTCTATCGAATGAGTGCAAGAAACCACCCATTTACCAATTTGAACTATCCAGTACAGTGGTCAGAATTTAGCAATTTTGCCAATTTCACACAAATTTCGAAAGATGCCAATTTCCGAATAGGGTCCAGAATAAACAAGGTAGACATTACTGGCACTAAAATGACATTTCCTCTGTTCATTAGTCACGTCTCAAGGCCCCTCTTACATTCTTTTGCTTTCCACTTTGAATTTTTATTCTCACAAAAATTAGAAGATTTACTGTTATGCAGACTACTGCATTAGTGTAAAAAATGATATAAATAATATTGGTGCACTTACGAAAGAATATTAGACTCACCAGTTGACGTGTATTGGATGCTTGGCATGATTTGTTTACTTTTGAACTTTGGTAAAAATCAAACATTTCTGCTACTTTGAGCTCAATTTCAAGGTACTTTTCATTGTAAAACCAGTCAAAATCATCTCAATTTCTGTAATATGTCTTCCATTCTATAAAATGAGACCAAGAAAACTAGAATACAACAATAAATACCATACGAAAATACAGTGCAAAGTCGCTGTTTTATTCCAAAAAAATGGTCAAAGTTTTTTTTTTCTCATTATGCACTGTGTGCTGCAGGATTTTTTTTTATACTGTGCACACCGACCACATAGACCCATTCTTTCATATGTAGGCCTACCAGCTTTCTCCCACTAGATATGAGGGCGCTAAAATTTAGGCGTACTAGTA